GAGCATACTAGAAGGAGGAGGGCATCTGAAAATGCATGGAGTGGAGATGATCCTACTTATATTGATAGCATTGGTGTACCCAGAGGTGTTCCTGATGAGTATAAACTAGCCAATCAGGTTTCTGCAGGATTTGAATCTTTTTTATGCTGGTGGTGTACTCTAAATAAAAATGTAGACAGAATCAACTACATCCATTATAACGTCCAGAGGCTGGGAAATAAAACAGAACAAGGCTTCTCCGCCGTCCATGAACAATTGTCAGCTACCTCTCTGATGGCTTTCCAGAACCGTATTGCTGTTGACATGTTGTTAGCTGAAAAAGGTGGTGTGTGCTCTATTTTTGGAGATCAGTGTTGCACCTTTATTCCCAACAACACCGCTGCAGATGGCAGCCTCACAAAGGCCCTTGAAGGCCTTCGCTCTCTTAACAGCAAAATGAAAGACCATTCTGGAGTTGACACAAAAATGTGGGATGGATTTGGAGACATTTTTGGTAAATACAAACAATTGGTGCTTTCTATTTTAATGTCTATAGCTGTATTTGCCGCCATCTTGACCTTATGTGGATGTTGTTGTATTCCATGTATTAGAGCACTGTTAAATAGACTAATTACCACAGCAATACAACCCATGAAAGCAGAAATGCATGCCCTCATGCCCACTGAAAAATACCCATCTGATGATGAAGACAGCGCAGAGGATGAAATCTCTTTGCATTTTCCTGCTTAATTCCAATGACATTAACAGTAACCCACAAGCTTAAAGTACCTCTGAGTGTACCCTTTACAGCTAAAACGTGATTTCATAGTTGAAAATCTGAAAAGAAGTGACTACTGAATGATAAAATAAATAGCTTAAAGTGAATAAACAGGGGGGAAATGTTGGATTAATTGTACAAGTTATTCTACTTTTAATCATATTACTTTAATCATATTATTATGCTTACACACTGAGATCATATTATTATGCTCACACATTTTGTTATCCTTATTTCACTTATATCATAAAGAGTGTTGAAGTATTTTACTTGTTTGTTCTGTACTAATGTTTTAAGTCTGTGCAGAAGGAGTGCTGATTATGAGAATTGGCTGCTGAAGGCCAGCCCCGGTTCAAGGAGAGAACACGGGGAACTGCACGTACTAACACCAGAGAAAGGAGTGAAAGTTCTTATCTCATGATAATGTATGATGTGATGCAGACTTCTGGTTCTGACTGGTTTTCACCCCTCCCTTAGCAGTCGGAACCAGCATTGTAGTTAGGGAGTTCCTTAATAAAAAGGCTTGGTAGAGCGGAGACTTTTTCAGAGTGGTTTGGAGAATTGTAACTGAACAGTCTCTGATCACTCTCCTTGCAAGTGAATCATACTAAAATTCTCTGTGTCATTCTTTGTACAGGTTACTGCATAAAATGTTTGGTGTTTAAACCTAACACATATCTCTCCTCTGCTATTGAGCCCACAGTTTCACATACACACACAGACGCTTCTGCACTAATAACAAATACACCCACTTCATCTGTACTGACATCTATTTTCTGGTCGGCAATCCTTCGATGACTTAGACTGAAGCTTCCATCTTCAGAGATATATGAAAATGGAACAAAATGCTGTCAGAATCAAAGCTAAAAACAAAGGCATGTCATGGATAATGGAATAGGAGTTTGTAAAAGGAGGGAATTAAGAAAAAAGACCGATACTTTTATACCTTTACACAGGCTACATCTAACATCAAACACTCAATTATAGAAAATCAACAGAAAGATGAGCTTCAGAGGAAGTTAAGATTATAGAGGCCTTCTGAAAACATCTTCCTGTTGATCAGTATAACAGCTGGTAAATACAAAAAAGGTTGAATTGTATAAAATGTTAGAAACAATTTCTAAACATCAGGTTGAGCAATCTTAACTTTGCTTGATGCACATTTTTCAATTAAACCTCAATCAGAAGCACTTATAAACTTTGCCAGTAAACCTCAGTACCATTCTAGAATTTCACTGCTAAAGGAGACTAAATGTTTTAGCTGCTCTTGTAGTTTTATTCTGGTATTTTTACGAATCATGTCGATGCATCACAAATGAACCACTTCAACCAGTTGTTTTTATTCTAAAACCTGTAGCAGCTAATAATATTACATGTATATTAAAATACAGAACAGAAAGATATTGCTCATACTGTTCACAATTATATAACCACATAGAAGATGGGAAACTATTAATTAGAGCTGAATCAAAGACATAACATATAAAAAAAGCACAGACAAGTTAAACAGGTGCATGTTTGCTGCCAAACTAACTTAGTCTTGATAAATTTCCTAAGAAGATGAAACTTTACAATGCAATTCTCAGATCTAATTATTTTCATTAAATCCATGCTGCAAAAAAATCAACAAAAAAGAGGACAGTAACAGGAATATAGTTAAGAAATTATACAAAAATCTTGAAAAGTAAAAATGATGTTTAAAACCTCAATAAGGACAATAAAATATGTCTTATATGATGTATTGGTCTACCATACATATTTACAGTATTAAACTAGTATTTATATGTAAAGGTTGAGGGTATTCTGTTTTTATATACCAAAGTTCAGCCTTTCATGAATAGAATAAAACCCCTTTCATTTTTCAGGAGAGATTCAATCTATAAAGCAGAGTAGATTTTGGTACTAAATGTTTTTTTTAGCAAACATGTTACGACGAGAATCTTCACACCTACAGAACCGCTCATTAACTTGTAGAGGAGTTTGCTATGTCATCGTTTGGCCAATAGAGGACAGAGTTTGAACGAGTAAGAGGGATACATCCCTCACTTGCTCACCTGTTCTATAAATATGTTATGTATTTCACTTTATTTTCACGAAATTAAATAGGCTACCTTCCACACAAAAATAAATAAATAAACTTGAAGGACTTCTGGAAAATATGAGAGTTTCTAGATAGAAAGGAGACACTGTCTTAGTTATGGTGCAGAGTCTATAAAGAAAATAATCAATTATTGTATGTTCTTATTTCATTCAGCACTTATTTTTACAACCTGTCCAACAAAATAAAATATTTAATAATATTTTCACTCATCAAGGCCCTTAAGAAAGCAACTTCCCCATATTAAGAAACAAAATTATGTGTCTAATTTAGTTCAGGTTGATTTAAATATTAACAAAATAAATTTACACACACAAAGAAAGGCAATAATAAATTCATAATGTCGGTAGAGACAATGTCCGGCCAAGAAGTGTCCTTATAATTTCATTTTAACGGAGTTCACAACCCTATGTAAGATATGAAAAAAAAACAATAAATACATCAGACTTCATGAACACAAGATACATCAAAGATTTTTCTTACATCAACTTTGGTATATTTCCCATTTCACAGTTTAGCTGGTACTCAACTCCTCTAATTTTTCGGGATAGGCCTACTATCACACTTCTTTAGAAGTTACCTGATTTTTAAATAAAATTTCTGTTTAATATTGGAAAAAAGGTCAGAATTCTGACTTTAATCTCAGAATTCTGATGTTAATCTCAGAATTCTGACTTTTTTCTCTTAATTCTGACTGTATTCTGACAGCTAACAAACATGTTAGCATCCAGCTGTAGCCATGTCTGTTTTAGAGACTAAACTAGCTCTCTTGTTTTAATCACCTTCTGCTCTTCCATTAATAATGCACTATCACCGGGGAATCCTGGGGTACGTAAAAAGTCACCTTATTCTGTAATTTTCCACCAATGAGTTACTAGCCTTCCCAAAAAACTCACATCTTAGTCAGTGAAGCTGAGTCCTCCCACATCTCTTCCTTCATGTTGCCCATCTACATTAAAATCCAAAATTCTGACATTAAAGTCAGAATTCTGAGAATAAAAATCAGAATTCTGAGATTAAAGTCTGAATTCTGAGATTAAAGTCAGAATTCTGAGGAAAAAAAAAACAAAATTCTGAGATTAAAGTCAGAATTCTAAGATTAAAGTTGGAATTCTGAGAAAGACATGTCAGAATTCTGAGATTAAAGTCAGAATTCTGAGAAAGAAAAGTCAGAATTATGGGATTAAAATCAGAATTCTGAGATTAAAGTCAGAATTCTGAGAAAAAAGTCAGAATTCTAAGATTAAAGTCAGAATTCTGAGATTAACGTCAGAATTCTGAGGGAAAAAAAAATTCTGAGATTAAAGTCAGAATTCTAAGATTAAAGTTGGAATTCTTAGATTAAAGTCTGAATTCTGAGAAAGACATGTCAGAATTCTGAGATTAAAGTCTGAATTCTGAGATTAAAGTCAGAATTCTGAGAAAAAAAAAACAAAATTTTGAGATTAAAGTCAGAATTCTAAGATTAAAGTTGGAATTCTGAGAAAGACATGTCAGAATTCTGAGATTAAAATCAGAATTCTGAGAAAAAAAAAGTCAGAATTATGGGATTAAAATCAGAATTCTGAGATTAAAGTCAGAATTCTGAGAAAAAAGTCAGAATTCTAAGATTAAAGTCAGAATTCTGAGATTAACGTCAGAATTCTGAGGAAAAAAAAAATTCTGAGATTAAAGTCAGAATTCTAAGATTAAAGTTGGAATTCTTAGATTAAAGTCTGAATTCTGAGAAAGACATGTCAGAATTCTGAGATTAAAGTCAGAATTCTCAGGAAAAAAAAGTCAGAATTATGGGATTAAAATCAGAATTCTGAGATTAAAGTCAGAATTCTGAGATTAACGTTAGAATTCTGAGAAAAAAGTCAGAGTTCTGAGATTAACGTCAGAATTCTGACATTTTTCCATATTAAACTAAAAATATATTTAAAAATCCGTTTTTTTGTTTTTGTTTGTTTGTTTGTTTTGTTTTTCAGTGGCCCTAATCCTCTTCCGAATATTTATGTTTGTTTTAGTTGCAGCTAAATAATCTCCGCGTTTCCTCTCTTCACCTCCATGCATGGCGAGGGACGCACATCACTTTGGATGCTCGTGCACTTCCGGGACTTTCGTAATATTGTGAGCAGGGCGCGTGCACGGCGGCAGGAGCGACCCTCCTCTTTTCAGGCAGAAACCGGTGAATCAGAGAAAGCGGCCAAGCCCTCTCTGCATCTCATTAGCGCTTTGAGCTTCTTGTATTTGTCTTTAAACTTGCAGAGTCTGACGGAAGAAACGCGGACGGAAGGTGAGAGATTCAGAGCGGCTGCTTATCTGTTGGTTTTTATCCATTTAAAAGTATTTTTTTGTGTGTTGATGTGAGAGTGCGGATGGTTATGAATTGCTCCCCCCCACAGCCACACAATGGAAGCATGCTGCACTCCGCTTCCTTCCTCCTGTCTGCATTGCTGCGTTTCAGCCTCCTTTCCTTTTTTATGTGACACCAGCTGTGACACATCTGTAGGGTTAGATATCCTCACCGATGACTCTGCTGACTCCTGACTGATTAAACTTGGAACTAAGTCATATATAAAGATATATCTCTATATATACTTTAATCTGGCTTATGCTGATTTGTACTTGGAGTGTCCTTATAGCCTCAGTGAACTCTAAGTGAGTGGATCTGGTTTCACTGAAGGTCAGAGGTTAAAGATCAGGTGGGGCTCACAGATGGAGCTGCTCTGTTCTAGACAGCCTCTGTGTTTTTTGAGGCAACCCGTTGAACCACCAACTGCTGGTTTAAAAAAAACATCACAGTCTGCCGAAATCACTTACATCCAATCTGGGATTCTGCAGGTTGAAGCAGTCCATTGAGAACACTGGAGTTCAGTTAAAGTTGGGTTCAAAATAGCAGCAGCATTAAGATCTGTTGTGGCTTTGCAAATTTTGTTATGTTTTAACGAAAAATAAACAGATGTGAAGTTTGGGTTAAGCTTTGACATAATGTAGTGTATGTTTATTTGTGTGTGAAAGATATAGATATAGCCAGATGCAAGACTTGGCATAAAATAGATTAGTTTATGAAACATTCATTCCAAATATGAATCTTTTTTGTTGATGTAAAACCCAATTGATACATGGCATTTGTTTTGACTATAAAAATGTAAAAAAAGGATCATGCCACTGATACTTTTAGTAAAGTCCTAGAGCAAATTAACTCCAAATGCACAAACCATTTTAATTCAGTTTATTTCTATAGCTCTAATTCACAACACATCATCTCAAGGCACTTTACAGTTCAACAGATCATACAGTCAAATTGATTCAAAGTTTTCTATCTAAGGAAAACCAGTTGAAGGCATTGACTCATTGACTCAGATGCAATCCCTCACACTAAGCATGTTTGTAGCGACAGTGGAGAGGAAAAACTCCCTTTTAACAAGAAGAAACCTCCATCAGAATCAGGCCATCTGCCGAGGCCGACTGGGGTTCAAGGATACAGAAGCAGGGATACAAAAAGCAGCTGTAAAAGGCGGCCCCGTCCAGGAAACACACAGCCAGGCCAGACAAGCTCTGAGCCAGCTCCCGTGTCAGAGGATGAAGAGAGCACATCCAGCCAGTCACAATCAGAGAAACAGGACTTCACTGAAAAACAGGCAGATCTCGAACATCTATAAACAAAGGTGTTGATGGCAGCAGCAAAGCTGATATTTCTCTCCAGGATGGTAGCAAACCAAACCAAATGCACTGTTGTTGTGCACTGCCGGTCAGCTGGAAGGTAGCAGACCAATACTCCTTCCCCCTAGCCTAAAAGAAAGGCCAATTAGACAGTTTGTTGTGATTTTCGGCTATCCAATATAATATCGAGGTCAGTTTTGGGTATTGCAGGCCAACAACAACCTCAACAACTCTCCATTACTAAGGGGTGGATCTGTATTTTTCGGTTCAATTTGCATGTTTTCTTAGCCATAACAAGACTTTGATTGGCTACTCTATAAAGCTTGGAACTCAATACTAATCCAGACATTTTGAATTGAGAAAGCTTCCTGGATGGGAAGTGAAACGTCTTCAAACTTGGAAAACAAAGTCCAGTGGATTGTTTTTTTTAAACTTTTTTTTTTTTAACTTTTTTTGGAATGACTATGACCTGCATGACTGAGAATGTTCACCAGCAATATTAAGCTTTCACTTCAATATATCTATTAGAAAACATTTTTTTTTTTTATCAAAACAAAGAGGGTAAAGGGGCTACATCTGCACCACCACTCTGGTAGATAGCGCAGTGGAGCCCTTCTGCTGTGCGCCGCAGCACCATTTCTTTAGTTAAGGGGGTGATAGTAGTAGATGTGCACTGATTCAAACCCCACAAAACATGGATTCTGGTGAACATATACAGCACTTGCTTTTTTATCTATGTATTTCATTTTTATACCTGGGTAAATTATCACAATATATAGTGATATTGCAATATCATGGTAATATCATATTGAGACATGCCAAAACTCACCCCTAATAATTCTAGGGAGAAAAAAAGCATGAGGAGTTTTTTAAACAGAAAGATTATCACTATCATGTACAATGGCTGAACATATGAATTGGAAAAGTTCTTGTTTCAAGGTGCTGTTTATTTTTATATCTGAACTGGAAAATGACACTTATGCATCAGGATTTCCCGTAGATCCTTTTGAAGATAATCCAGCAGTGTTTTTGAGTTTGAGTTGAAGAAAAGCATCATAGTTCTTCCAAAACAGGTTAGATTATTTTCTCTGATGTGTGTTAGCTATTGTTTAGATATAAATATGTGTTTAAAAAACATCCAGTTTTTTTATTTTAATAAACATTTTTTACCATTTAAAATATTTCCTTTACAAACGTTATAACTTATCATTATTAAACATAAACATCTGATACTAATCAGAGTGATGTTTCTCTTTAATAATTATAAACAATTTAAAAATCTGATTAACTATTGGTTTCATTAAGATCTTTACTCAGTTGCACAGTAGGAGCTGAGCACCAATACAAAAATAATACAATTCTAATGCTGGATCTTTATGTTTATTTGCCTTTTTCTTAGAAATTTGTAGAGCTAAACAAGTAGTTTTCTTTTAAGCTCTATTCTATTATTATGTTCTATCTTCTCCCTTTCAGTCTGGATAACCAGTTCTGTGTGGGCTTTTTTTTCATTGTTTATTTTTTTTAAAAGAGGATTTTCCATAAGCCTCTGACAATTTTTGTCTGTAAAGTTCTACATCTTGCCGTCCTCAGACTTGATTTGATAATTTTAATTTCCTATTTTTTTGCTAAAATAATGTGTTTGGTTTCAGGAAACCTAAGACGTAGACAACTTTTATTGTCATTTTCTAGAAACAGAGTGTATACAAATGGAAATTTCTTTTTGTACAGCTTTCAGACAGTAAAGGAGCAGCAGCTTAGCTAACCTGTCTAACCCTCTAGGTTTTATAGAAATGAACAACAATGTCATTACAAATATCTTGCATGTATTTATGATTTCGTTTAGTAGATTTTAATATAATTTATTCCTTTCTCTTTTATCTAATGTATGTTCCATCGGCAGTCTTGCTTAGCATGATGGTTGTCTGCAAACTCCTCTCTAGATCCTTTAGACCTAAATTGTAATTTCTGATCTTAATCAGGGACAGTTTTGTTTCCCTTTTTTACCACATGGGGAAAAAAGTTAAGCACCAGTACTTGGTTCTGCTTCATTAAATCATTTATTTCTTGGTGGTTTAGAGGCATTGTTTAGACATGCCTCTTTAAGTTTAAACTCTTGTGACCTTCTTTATAAGACAATCAATCGACAGCGAAAACATGCTAGAATGTGAAGGATAAAATTCATTCTCATTTTTAATATGTTTATTCTGCCATTTAAAAAAAATTAATCTTGTGCCTGAAGCATTTAATTGTATTTAAGTTATTTTTATCCAAAAATAAAACTTGTATTTAAGCACATAATCCAGCCTCATTATCAGAGGCAAAGCAAATATGTTTGTTTTACTCAAGAGCTCACAGTTATTTTTTTAAATCCTGGTCCAGTTTTACTAAAGTAATTTTTTTAACAAATAGGTTTTATTAAACCTGCTTTGCCATCTCACAGAATCCAAACTGTGCTCATAGGAATTTAACCCTACTCTTCTCAGATGCAGATTAAATATTAGTATTTTTGAGTGTGATACCAATTTCTTTAATTAAATTCAAATTACTAATCTTAAAGGAGAAGTCCTCATCTCCATATTAATCTAAACTTTAATGTTTATCTAAAAGTCTCTGTGACCTTTTGAAAAAAGGAGGAAGGATGAGATCATTTTGGTCTGACTTAGTAAATATTTAACTATACATTTTTGGCCTATGAGCACAACTGTTAAAAGTTCCCGCTGGTCGATGAGGGAAACAGTAATTTCTATGTAATAAAAAAAAACACACAGTAAAGTGATTTAAATTCAGCGCTTCAGACTGACAGATCAAAGTCAGTGCATGCATTTTGCAATTAACCCAGTTATCAAACAATGATGTCAAGTTCAACTTGCCATTCAAATTGTTTGCAAGTTTTCTATCTTAGGAAACCCAGCAGTTTGCATCGAGTTGTTGACTTGCAGGATGTTCTGCTCCTGGAAAAGCATGTATTGACAGTAGACAGTCACTTGATTTATGTCACTGCCTTTCAGCAGTCTGCTATACTTAGCATGCATGTAAAAAACAGAGGAAATAGCATTCAACAACAATAACAGGTAGAAATCTCCAGCATAAACCATGTTCAAGAAAAATAACCTTTAGCCATGACTGACCATGGGTTTGAGAAGAAAGAATCTACATGCAGGAAAAAATAGAAACACAGTTGATCTGATCCATGCTTTCTATAGGGAAGGAAAACATAAACGGTTAATGGTAGTTGTAGCTTCTATAGTGGCTTTATCTACAGGAGAAAAATGCTAAACAGATTTCTTTTAAACAGATGAGCTCTGAGCGAGTTTTCAAGTCTAGAAGATGAAATTTAGGCACAATAAAAGCTCAACTAAAAGCTCTTTCTACAAGAGCAACAGTGATGACCAATAAAAGAAAGCCTAGTGTGTCATATAGAAGTAGAGTGTAAAGTTGCTGACAGCAGTAGCTCCGCATGTCTCCCCCTCTAGGAAGGTGTCACAACTAAACAAAACATTGAGCTATATGTAGCTATTTTGAAGAGAAAAATATAGATAGAATATAAGATTAAAAGTGTGAGGGTAATAGGAAAGTGTAGCAGAGTAAGGAATAGAGTTTTGGACTCTTAGAAATAAAAGTAGAATAAAAGATTTCTGTGCAGCCTGTCACATAGTCACGCAGCTTGGAGGCATTCTAGGTGCAATCAAACCAAGACAACAAACTTTATGATTGAACTGAATTATTGTGGCATTAATAGAGTATGAAATAGAAAACAACCAATATTTACTTTTGTTGTAGCAATCTGAGATACAAAACTTTCTTGTTTTTCAAAATATATTCTCAATCTCAGAAGCCACAATTGCCACCTGGTCTCAAAGGGAGCATTTGTGATATTTATTTTTCATTTTTTTTTTGCTGATTTTACATAGTCTTAAATGCTATTCAAGAATTATATGAATGCAGCCTGCCAGAATGGGTGGTTAATGCATTTGGGGAGTATTTCATTGGAGCTGAATTGCTGCTAATTAGAATCCTCTTCCTGCCGTCTTGATGTTTTACCCACATTTTCATTAATAAGGTTGTAACTGTTCAAGAGTCTGATTTGATTCAAATCATAAATGCATCCCTTATGTCGTTTGTTTCCCCCCGAGCCTTAAAAACAGATATTATCAAACAATTGTTATTAAAAAAAAACTTGGACAAATTGGTCCTGCAGAACTACAGACCCATCTCAAACCTCCCCTACATCAGTAAGATTATTGAAAAGTTTAAATGCCTTCTTAACAAAGACCAACTGCTTTGATGTCAGAAATGGGGGATCTGTTGTCGACAAGTCATCTCTCTGTAATGTTTTTGTTCTACACAGCCACTGAGCCAGGTGAGTCCATCTACAAAGGATAAACCAGATTGGACTCACCGGGCTCAGTACCTGTATAGAACAAAAACATGACATAGAGATGATTTGTTGACCCTAGATCCCCCATCTCTGTTTGATGTCTTCCAGTTAGGTTTCCGTGCCAACCACAGTACAGAGAATGTCCTGATTAAGGTGTTCAATGACACCTGTTTAAATTCAGACTCTGGAAGAAGGACAGTGCTGGTATTATTGTAACCTCAGTGCAGCGTTTGATATTGTTGTTCCCTCAATTGTATACGAGCATCTGGAAAACTGGGTCGGCCTTTCTGGTACAGCACTGGACTGGTTTATATCCTACCTGAAGGACAGGGACTTTTATGGGTCAGTGGGGAACTATAAATCAGAGACCAGAAAAATCACATTTGGTGTTCCTCAAGGCTCAATTCTGAGAATTGAATTCTCAGATTATAGCAAACAAAAAGATAATTTACCATAACTATGCAGACGACACACAGCTTTAAATCACAATGTGACCAGGTGACTATAAAACCCATTATAGGGTTTGCTAAACGCTTAACACAGATCAATGTATGGATGCATCATAGTTTCCTTCAACTGAATAAAAACAGAAGTGAGGTTATAATCTTCGGGGCTGATTATGGCCGAAATGTTGGTGTTATGATGGACTCAGACCTGAAACTTGACGCCCCTGTCACACCTTGACGACTTTAAAAAATCCGGCAAAAACGCTGGTACAGTATACGTTGGATAACTTATGGGTCAGTTTTGTATCATTTATGAGCACACTGAAAGACACTGGCACATGTCAACATATGCTAAGAAATTTCGTAGAGCATGCTTAAAATTTCTTGACGTATTCCAGCGTATGCTCATACATGGGCGATAGGTAACAGGTATGCTATCTGATCGCTGAGATAAGTTACTCATAAGGTAGTGTCCAGCTTATCCAAAACCTATGAGTAGCCTGTGCATAACTTATGTGTAACTTATGAAGAACTTATCTCCAAGGCATATCAACGTATTTGAAGTGTTCCAGACGACCGTTGAATATGTTTCTAACTTACAGCTACTGTTTAATCCTCCAGACTTCATCCCCATCATAGGGTGAACGTGAAGGTAAGGTGTGATGGATCCTTCCTGCGTTTACACCCACGGTCACAACCAACAAACTGCCTAACAGACATGACACTGAATCTGCTGTGACTGCAAAATCTACTTCTTTCTTTTTCTGTTTTTATTTATGTATATATATTTTTTTTGTTGGCAGGCGCTAAACAGGAGCTAGGTTAATACCGTGATCAAAGAAATCTTTTTATGAAGGCCAGGCGCCTCCAGGCACATTGCTGCCCCCCTCAGGACACTGGCTTTATGCATAAGTTAGGCTGTCATTGGACATAGGTTCTGGACTTGAACTGAATACTCTATGTATACGTCCAAAATTGAAAAAAATACATAGAAAGTTCAGCATATGCCAGCGTTTTAGGAGATTCTGGGACATCAGGCATACGCTGTCTAAATCCTCAAGGTGTGACAGGGGCTTAAGTCAGCCTTTTATCACCTGAAGATCATCTCCAGGATTTAAGGACTAATGTCCAAGCAGGATCTAGAAAAACTCCTTCATGCATTTATCTTTAGTAGAATTGATTATTGTAACAGTTTCTCCACAGGCTTGTCTAAAAATCCATCAGACAGCTGCAGCTAAACCAAGAGCACATCTTAGAGCACATCAGCCTGGTTGTGGTCCAACTGTTTTAATTGCTTTGCAACCTCTTTTTAGCATGTTTTTATCTTTATTTTCTTTTATTCTGCTTTTATTTTTCTTCTATTTCAGTGTAAAGCACTGAATTGCCCTTGTAATGAATTTATCTATACAAATAAACTTGCTTTGCCTTGGAACAGAAATTTTTTGATACTTTTTTCTTGTAGTAAAACTTTTTATATTTAGTTTCATAGTAAATAGAACCAGATCTATCCAGAGCATCTAAATTAGGTTTTAAATATTTCATTAAACTTGGCCAAATAAAGCTTTTTTTTTTTCAAATCCTGCTCTAATTGCTGAAACCAGAATACTAATTTATCTTCATCCCCAAAATTTCATTTTTCTTCCTCCAAAAATACAAAACACAACTAAATACTTAATGTACTTAATGAAAATAGTCCATGCATTGTTTATATATAAAAATACCCATATAACGTTTTGTTATTTCAGTTTTTAGAAGGGTTGATTTCCGTACTTTTGACTGACAGATTTTGACCAATGTGAGGCAGCTGTTAGACAACTGAGGTTTATTTTAAATAAACCCAAAATCCCTGTGCTGAGGAAAAAAACCTGATAAGACAAGAACTTAATTTATAAAGATGAATATTGTAATTGGATTTCAGCACAGTGCAGCTATTTCAGAAAAAGTACAGCTATCTTGATTCATGCTCCAGTTATCAGATAAAACAAATTTAGAAATTAGCTTTTCAAAATGGATTTTCCACACATTTAACAAAACATGTTCTGTGTTTAAAAAACCAAACATCTCATTGCGAGGAAAAGGATTTCTGTGTAGAAACCGGATTGGATTTTATTTTGCTCCAAAGCAAAGTGCAGTTGATCAAACTCCTGCAACATCTCACCATCCTGGATTGTTTTAGAAGTGTTTCACCATTTGACCTGAACAGTTTTCCTACACTTGTTGTCTCTTCAGTCAAGGCAGATATGTCGCCCTCATGCTAAAACATCTCTCGTTTTGTTTTTCTGTTTTTATGAAGGTCGTTAGAAGAAAATGGTGTCAACACAGATAGCCGACAGAGGTGACCTTTCCCCTGCAGTCCCTGGTGAACCTAAACAACCCGAGTGAACCTGTTTAACCCTTTCTGATTGGCTGGACAGCTGCCAGCAACATCCAATTGGCGTTGGTCTTAGGTGGTGGAATTTGATCCTACTCCTGCTGCATCCCAGCACTTCCCCTTCTGAGGTACAAATCCCCATAATATAAAGGATAAGGAACATCAACAAAAACTTTTCATTGTTTTCTCTAACATTTGAGAAGTTGTATTAGTTTTTCGCACTGCATTGAACTATTTTGCAGATATATTGTTTTATTTTTATTTCTGTTAACCCAGGTGGGTGAGCATTACACTTCAGAAAGTTGGGATTAGCTCAGGATTGTATGTGTAACAATATCTGAGTTGTTGAAAGCAACCTGTTTCCGGTCAACAGTGTTTTCTTTTTGAGGTCGCCTACTTTTGTGTTTGTGTGACCTCTGGGCGAGTGATTGGAAGCACGGGCTAAATCATGTTTACTCTGTAGGGTTAATAAGCTCAAAGACATATGAATAATGCTCTGTATGACTGAGCTATAATTTTGTGGGGGTTTTCAAATACCAAATTAACTTTGACGCTGATTTCTCTTGGAGTAAATTAACTGATGTTTATATTTAAAAGTTATTCACCTTTTTTTGTCACAAATGCTTTAAAAAGATCTCTAATATACAACAGGCATTTTAAAAGATGTATCATTCTTTAGATGAGATACCATAGATACATTAAGCATCAAAAATATACATAATCGAATCAGGACGACTTTGCTATTTTTTTAACCCCTTAAATATTACCATTGTAATTAAGTCTCTATTGTATTTTGAAGCCAAAAATCAAATCTAAGTTTTATTTGTTTTAATTATTATCAACTTTGTGAATTAATATATGTTTAGAATTGAATAGAAATACTTTTGTTACCTTTGAAATTGAAATACCTCTGAGCCTTTGTTTTTCCACAATGGAGAGATTCTCGTGTGACATTGGCAAAAATATAGATGGAATACACCAATACTTCACAGTAGACATAATAGAAATATATATATTTAATCAAAAGTTAAGCTGTAAAGCAGAAGTGAAAAAATGCAGTTCAATGATTAGGCAAGGTTCAGATAATAATTCAGTGTTCAAGTTAAATAGAAGAAAGACAGCAGCCTGTTCCCAGAATATTGTAAAAAGGCAAGAAACAAGCAAAAAAAAAAGCTGTGTAACATACATGATTTTACAATTTAGAAGCCAAAGAAGAGGAACCTGTGGAACCAGCACTATGATGGTAAACACTTGCTGAATTTGTTGACATTATGAAGTCTAGCTGGAAGGGAGGACCTGAAGAAGCGCTCCTTATAGCATCTAGGATGCAGCACTCTATAACTGAAAGAGCTCTCTGCTCTGCAACAGCTCTATGCAACAGGAGAGACACTTTTTTTTCTTAAATTTTTTAAATTCAGCCATTTGTCTCCCATCGCATGCACCGTTTCCGGGGAGCTTCTTAGGACAGAGCCGGTCCTCCTGATGAGCTTATCCCTCCCCTTCCTCTCAGCTACAGATGTGGTTGAAATCTTTAACTTTATTTTGAACTTCTTTGCACTGGATTTTTTAACAGAGTAAAGGTTTTCTGTCACATAGAATCCTAATAAAAAAGTTCAATTGGTCTGAATACTAACTGTATATAAATACTTTTAAGAAGCACTTTATATCACAATTAAAATAAATGCAACTATGAGACTCAACACAGTAGTTTTCTTAAACATGTTAAGTAAAAATAGAAACACTTCAGTCTGTCAATAATACTGAGTTTCGTGTTAAATGAGAAAGTTCTCTTGTTGAAATGATCTCAGATCTCATTTAATACTTGTTTAAATGTTCCTTGAGGTTGCATATCTTGTAATCATTTTGTTTTTCACAATTTCACAACTTTCGGCATTAGGAAAACGCCTACAGTACTACATAAGAAAATAATTTCCATGCATGCAGTGAGGTTTTTTTTCTAACTGTTATGCTAAGAATTTGGAGATTTAATTAGCCAGACCTCCACATATTTAAAAGACTGTTAAGTATTTCAACAAGTAGACTCCCTGTTGGCAGATCTGTCTTTTATGTGGATTAAGAAAGTTGTTTTTAATCAGCTTCTCTTTTTTCTGTTTTTATTGTGTTGACATTATATCACATTTTTTAAAACATCTTGTATAACTTTTTCTATTCTGACTGAACTCTGGAAAGGCATTATTAGCCAGATATTATGTAAAGCAGCTTATATAAGCTGCTGCTTTTTCACTGACCTCTACTTTTATAATCAGTTTTGTCATTCTTTTCTTTTTCTCTGAGGGTTGCTAAGATGTAATTACATGTTTTTCTAGGTGCATATTTTTCCTGCATAGCAGTGATTTAGTCAGTGTGTAGGCAGAAAACGTTTTAAGTTAATCCAAAATCGGTCTTTTTAAAGGGAGGCCTACCAAACCCACCAAACACTTGACTGGAGATTTGATTTAAGGAAGCAATAAGCCCAACATATTGAGAAATGCATTTCACAAGAGATAACAATATCCATAGTAGTTTTATAGTTGATGTACTTTTTGTTTGTTCTTGTTTAGAAAACAATAGTATTGGTCTGAATAATAATGGAAATTAAAATAGAAAAAAGATTAAAGATAAAGGTTATAATAGCCCAAATTACGGCTTTTCTTTGTTCAGCAGTGCAGCAATAGCAGAGACAGTCAGTCCCTTCCTTCCTTCACCTGAATAAAACAATGAGCTGCTGTTGGAAGTTTTAAACTCTGCTAACATGAGAAGTAGTGCCTGAAAAAACACCTTTCAGCCTCTATGACGGACACAGAAGTATTAATTAGAGAAACATTCCCTTAAAGGCAGATGGACAGGAAAAAAAATTAAATGCAAGAAAACTAGAAGTTAATTAAATTATCAATGGAATTTTATTAAGAATTTATTCTGGGTTTTAACACTCCACTTTTCTTTTCATCTTATAACTCTTGCTAATTACCCATTTAGCTCATTTAATATGACTTTGAGAAATAAAATTGATAAAGGTGGCGTAATTAATTCATTAGTAATACTGAACTGTAATTTCTTAATAAAAGGTCTGGGCTAGCAGCAAAGAAAGTACTGCAACAATACTTGACTAAGAGTGTGTCAACAGAACTGTCTCAGACATCCATATTATATACCTGTACAGAAAATAAGAGCAATGGAGGCCAGTCTGCTTAAAGATGGGGTGACGAGTTAATTACTTAGATAAATAGAGCATTATTTTTTTCCATAATAAGGACTGGACGGTTATTAAAAAATGGCAATAAAAAAATATTCACTCTTTCTGATGCTAGTGACGTCTTCCACAAATGAGCGTAGCGCTGTGACTCTATACCATTTCTCTGCCACACTTACACTCACCGGCCACTTTATTAGGTACACCTGTCCAACTGCTCGTTAACACTTAATTTCTAAGCAGCCAATCACATGGCGGCAACTCAGTGCATTTAGGCATGTAGACATGGTCAAGACAATCTCCTGCAGTTCAAACCGAGCATCAGTATGGGGAAGAAAGGTGATTTGAGTGACTTTGAACGTGGCATGATTGTTTGTGCCAGAAGGGCTGGTCTGAGTATTTCAGAAACTGCTGATCTACTGGGATTTTCACGCACAACCATCTCTAGGGTTTACAGAGAATGGTCCGAAAAAGAAAAAACATCCAGTGAGCGGCAGTTCTGTGGGCGGAAATGCCTTGTTGATGCCAGAGGTCAGAGGAGAATGGCCAGACTGGTTCGAGCTGATAGAAGGGCAACAGTGACACAAATAACCACCCGTTACAACCAAGGTGGGCAGAAGAACATCTCTGAACGCACAGTACGTCGAACTTTAAGGCAGATGGGCTACAGCAGCAGAAGACCACACCGGGTGCCACTCCTTTCAGCTAAGAACAGGAAACTGAGGCTACAATTTGCACAAGCTCATCGCAATTGGACAATAGAAGATTGGAAAAACGTTGCCTGGTCTGATGAGTCTCGATTTCTGCTGCGACATTCGGATGGTAGGGTCAGAATTTGCCGTCTACAACATGAAAGCATGGATCCATCCTGCCTTGTATCAACGGTTCAGGCTGGTGGTGGTGGTGTCATGGTGTGGGGAATATTTTCTTGGCACTCTTTGGGCCCCTTGGTACCAATTGAGCATCTTTGCAACGCCACAGCCTACCTCAGTATTGTTGCTGACCATGTCCATCCCTTTATGACCACAATGTACCCAACTTCTGATGGCTACTTTCAGCAGGATAATGCGCCATGTCATAAAGCTGGAATCATCTCAGACTGGTTTCTTGAACATGACAATGAGTTCACAATGAGTTCACTCAAATGGCCTCCACAGTCACCAGATATCAATCCAATAGAGCATCTTTGGGATGTGGTGGAACGGGAGATTCGCATCATGGATGTGCAGCCAACAAATCTGCGGCAACTGTGTGATGCCATCATGTCAATATGGACCAAACTCCCTGAGGAATGCTTCCAGCACCTTGTTGAATCTATGTCACAAAGAATTGAGGCAGTTCTGAAGGCAAAAGGGGTCCAACCCGTTACTAGCATGGGGTACCTAATAAAGTGGCCGGTGAGTGTAGATTACATGTGTTAAAGTTGAGGTTCTGTTTGAGAGTCATTTTTATAAGAGGAAGTGTAATTTAAAGAGGGTATTCTGTGCACTGATCATCTCTAAATACAGTTTTGTACAACCCTTTGCCTTAAAAATTCAGTGTCAGAATCCACCTGTTTATAAGTTTATTTCAATAGAAATAAATACTTTCATTGAAGGCCATCTTTAAAGCATAAATCATGCACTAGTTTTTGTGGGGCAATAGCTTATTTTAGACGGTGTAGTAGTTACATCCACTTCTTTCAGATGACTAAATCTGAACTAATGCACTTTGTTCTTCATTCACAACATTTCTTCTTGATTATACTCAAGAAGTTATTTGATATCCATAAACCAAATAATATTTAAAGACTTCCATTCATCCATCCATTATCTGACACGCTTGTCCCAATTGGGGTCGCGAGGGGTGCTGGTGCCTATCTCCGGCTGTCAATGGGCGAGAGGCGGGGTACACCCTGGACAGGTTGTCAGTCCATCGCAGGGCAACACACAGACAAAC